ATTTATTTATTTTTATTTATTACATTTATTTATTGTGTGTGTGTGTGTGGCCAGCTCAGCCCACCAGGGGGCGGGTCTGGCTGGCATGTGGTGCTGGGGATCGAACCGCGGTCCCTGTGGTTTGCCAAGCTTGTTTCAAGTAGGTGCTTTAGACCACTGAGCCATCTCTCCAGCCCCTCATGCTGATTTTGAGTTACAGTTCTACATAGAAATTAATTCAGTATACTGAGTTTTTATGCCATTAGTACTGTGATTAGGTCCATTGATAGTTCAGACTCTGATTTAAGGAGCTAGAGTAATAAAGTACATAATTAGTGATACAGAGGATCTGATATGAATCCAAATTACTGACTTTGTAGTATGGAATTGTTTAGGAAGTCTTTGAAATTCATTGAAGCTGAGCTTTAAAAGATGATACAGGAGGTTAATTTCTTTACTTTGTCCTCAAAACAAAGGTTGTGTGTTAAGGATCACAAAAATATTCATACCTTTTTATTAATTCATTTTACTCTGGCAACCAGAAGGCACAGATATTTATTGCAGTGTTATCCAAGTAATGAAATAAAAACAGATTGTTGAAAAGAAACTAAATGATGAATTTGAGGTCATAGACTATTATGTAACCATTTTAATGAAATAGGACTTCGTAAAAACTATAATATTTCAATAGCCTTACAGTGTTCGTATTACATTGAAAAGCATAATGGTAGATGCATTTCTGAAGCTAGCCTAAAGAAATTAATTAGATAATTTCATTTTAGCATTTTTGATTGATGATAGTCATTGACTATCAATGACTATAATTGATAGTCATTATTTTAGTTCCAGTGTCTACAGCAGTGACTGACTTGTAATAAGTGTTCGGTAGGAGCATGTAAAATGAGTACATTGAAGGCCAACCATTTTATCTTTGGGTTTTGTATTTTGTGAACAACATCTTGAAGGAAATAGACCAAAATGAAATAGAGTTGTTGTATTGAGGTGTTAGATGTGTTAAAGGTTTTCTTTAATATTGTAGCATTAATTACTTTAAATGTGTGTTTATGATTCCTCTTGTTTTACTCTCTAAATACAATTTAAAGAATCCATCGGGGGCCAGGGAAATGGCTCAGTGGAATAAGTGCTTCCCTGGCAAGCGCAGGGGCCTGAGTTCAACCCCCAGTTCCACCAAAAAAATAATAAAAAAATAAAGAATACATCAAATTTAGGATTTCTGGTTTTTAAACTATGCATATACTTAATACATAACTCATGAGAAATGATTTTCTTTTTCTTTTGTTCTTGAGACTGGGTTTCATTACACAGTTCAGGCCAAGCTTGAACTTACTTTGTAGTCCATACTGGCCTCAGTCAGAGTCACAGGGATTTCCTGCCTGAGCCTCCTAAGTGCTGCGATTACAGTTGTTCACCTCCATGCCTGGAAAAATTATTTTTTTTGCTTTTGCTTATATATTGTCATTTCACATTGACCATGTAAGCTCTGTACCATCAGGTGGCTTACCAATTTTATTCATTGCTATATCTATAGTGCCTGAATTGTATAGGAAGTCTTAAGTAAATATCAATCAAGTAAATAAATGGTAAATCAGAATTTAAAGCTAAGTGATACATGTGTGGCATTTCAGAATATTTTTGTGCATATGTGGTATATCCTTGTAATTCCAGCATTTGGGAGGCTGAGGAAGGAGAATTGCTGTGAGTTCAAGGCCAGCCTAGGCTACAGTATGAATTCAAGGCCCCCTGAACTGCGAAGTAAAACACTGTCTCAAAAAGCCAAAACAAGAATATTTTTATGAAATGTCTATGTATATATTTAATTACACAAACAAGTGCATTTTTTAGCAGTTACTGTGTTCTTTTTCAGAGGACATTACAAGTTCTGTTGCCTGACCTTGCTGCCAAAGCAAGCCCAGCAGCATCTGCTCTCATTCGAACTTTAGGAAAACAGTTAAATGTCAGTCGTAGAGAGATCTTAATAAATAACTTCAAATACATTTTCTCTCATTTGGTTTGTTCCTGTTCCAAAGATGAATTAGAACGTGCTCTTCATTATCTGAAGGTAATTGAATATTTGCATATTTTGTTTGTTTATATTAGCATTATGGGAAAGGTATTGCAGTCTAACAGAAAGGAATTCATAGCCTATCCTAGAATATAAATGTAAATGTTTTTGTGTTGATTAATCTTTGTCCTGGGAGCATATTAAGTAGAATTCTTTTTACATTTTCTTTGATCGTTTTATCATAATGGGATAGGACAGTCATTTTTTCATGGATGAGGTTCTTAGATAATTTCACTTTAGCATTTTTGATTGAGCTATAAACTTAATGATGCAACACAAGTAATTATATCTATAGAAGACAGCCATCTTAAACTATAATATATCTGTGTTTAGTATTTAGTGCACTGATTACAATCGGACCTAGTATCTTGCTACCTTTTAAACTTAGAATGTCTAATTACTAAAATGAAGAATATGAGACTATGGGAGAACAGGTAAGTCTTTCAGAAACATATACTGTAAGTTTCTTTTTTGTCTTCTTTTTTTTTTTTTTTTGGTACCAGAGAGTGAACTTAAGACCTTGCACTTGCCAGGCAGGCGCTTAAGCTTCTAAGCTATATTCCTGGCCCTTTCTTTTTATGTTAATTTAGTTTACTTTTCTTAATATGCCACTAGCAGGTCTCTTTGCACATGACAGTTAGTGACTTTTGATTGTATTTGTTCATCTTGGGAAAATAAATCTGTATGTAGTGGAGGTAGAATGATAAGAATAAGTGTTTATAAGGTTTATACTGTATATCAGAAACTTTTCTATTTTTGTACCCCTATGAGTTATTTCACTTAATCTTCACAGTTACTAAGTAAGATAAGGTTCATTATCTCTTTCCATAAGTCCTTGGACCATATTCAGATTTTTGTTCAGATTTTGGAATATTTATAGATTCATAATGAGATCGCTTGAGGGTATAAGTCTAAACATGGAATTTGTTTTATATACACTTTAAATATGTAGCCCAGAAATAATATTATACAATAGTATGTTTGCATTTTTTACTGCAACCATCACATGAGAACAGGTGTGGAATTTTTTGCTTGTGACATCATGTCAGGTCAGCTCTCAAAAAGTTTTGGAATTTTGAATTAGGGATTCTTAGCCTGTATTACTGTTTATTTTATAGATAAGCAAACTAAAAGGAGGTTAGAATAGGTGACTTATCCAAATACCAACATCACTACTAAGTGAAAGTAGAACTTCAACAGTCTGACCAGAAAAACACCCCTTAGCCACTATCGTGTTTCCTCTCCAGAGTTTGTGTATCTGTAACTATGGAGTTGGTGATGGATTAAAACCTTAGACAAAATCAGGGCTTTCCTTTTAAATTTTATGTCAAGATAAAGTCTAGTCACTTCTGTTACAGATAACCATGGTCGACTTAGTAGGAGAGAACAAATTAGAATCCTTTTCCAGAGCCTTTCCTTAATATTAGTAAATTCTATACCCAGGTCTAAAGCTCCGGATTTATTAATGGCATGTTAAAATCAACATATTTTCACATTGCTAATAGGAAGGAAAACACCTTTTTTTTACTCTCTTTGGGTTAGAATGAAACAGAAATTGAACTGGGAAGCCTATTGAGACAGGATTTCCAAGGATTGCATAATGAATTACTATTACGTATTGGAGAACATTATCAACAAGTTTTCAATGGCTTGTCAATACTTGCCTCATTTGCATCTAGTGATGATCCATATCAGGGCCCAAGAGACATCACATCACCTGAACTAATGGTAAGGAATTTACTTGATGGGTTTTTTTTCCCTTCTTGTTTGTAACCTAATTATTAAATTGACAAAACTTTTTTTCCTTTAAATCTTTAGTTGGGATTTTTAATTTTGAAAAAATTTCAAGTTGCATGTTCACAGTAAAAACATTAGGAACATATCTTACCTTTGAAAAAATGTAGATTTTTTTTCAAGAGATTTTGAGAATTTTCACTGAGTAAAAAAATGGCATTTTTTCTTTAGTTATTAATTATATATTAAGTTTGTAGTTCATCATACACATCCCCATTTCCCTTCTTTGACAAAGTAAACTAGTTTTTGTTTGTTCGGTTTTTTTGGTGGTATCAGGGATCAAACTTGCGCTTGCCAGGCAAGCACTTACTTCACTGAGCTATTTCCCTGGCTCAAACTAAATCACTTCTGACCATAGTTGTTAACCCATTTTTGGATTGAAGGGAAGTTAGATGATACTTTATCTTTTTTCATCATTCTCTAGTGTCAGTGTGTATCTAAAATCATATTACTATTTTCCTTTTTCATCTAAAAAAGTTATAAATCATCATACGATTTTTTCATTTTAATTCTCTTTGTTCCTTAAAAAAAACTCAAAGGGCTAACAGTAAAATATCTTCAAAGAGTTTTCTATTTTTGTGTTCTTATTTTCCATTAAATAAACCCATTAGAGTTTGACTTTGTTTTCACTATTCTGAAATTCTTTGTTGGGGTTCTGCTGCTAAATTTAATAGTTACTTCTTTACCCTTATCTAATTCAAATTCTCAGGGCTGGCGAAATAGCACAGTGGATTAAAGCGCCTGCTTAGGCAGACACAGGGGCCCAGGGTTTGATCCTTGGGCCTGCCATGCCATCCCTGCCCCAGGGCTTGATGAGACTGGGTTTGATTTTTTTTTTTTTTTTTTCCTGTATTTTAGGGAAGGGTCTACAGGGTGTTCAGGGTCTCATTACTAGATCAGGCTGGTAGTGATCTGCCTGTTTACAGCCTCCCAAGTGCTGGGATTACAGGTGTGCGCCACCATGCCCAGTCTCAGTTTTGGGTCTTGGCACACCCCAGGGGCAGGGCCTGCATGGCAGGCCTAGGGATTGAACCCCAGCCCCTGCACCTGCTTGCAGGCGTTTTAATCTGCTGAGCTATTTGGCAGGCCCCGAGACTGAGATTGAAACTGGTTGTGGTGGTGCACGCCTATAATCCCACTACGTGGGAGGCTGAGAACAGGAGGATCGCTCATGTCACTGGACTTGGAGTCCAGTCTACATAGTGAGACCCTGTAGACCCTGTACTAAATAAAAAATAGTAATAATTCAGCTTCTCAGTAGTATTCAACACAGTTCGTACCCTTTTAGTATGTGGCATCTATACCACATTGGCTTGGTTTTCTTTATAGTTCACTGTGAACTTCACCCATATTTTAGGTCTCCTTTTTTGGCTTTGTCCATTATCTACTCCTCTAAATGTTAGAGTAACTCAGAATTACTAATGGCTTTTTCTTATTATTTTCAGTCTTTCTTTTAAGTGACCTCCTTTGGCCTTTTAATATAATATTTAGAATCGGCCTCAAAAATGTATATGCACTTCAGCAATTTACCATACTAATAAATGTCTGGAAGTGAGTGGCCAACACTTTGAGCACCTCTTGTAATTGTAGAGTCCAAAGTAATTTGTATTGATGTGATGGTGTCTCAATAAACTTAGTATTAAATTATTTATAAAAGCTTTTTTGTCCTGATCTATACATTATTTGGTGGACTCTCTGTATATTTTGACCATTTCATACTTGAAATTTCAATTCAGACTTCCTTTAAGCTCAGAACTTTTGAGTTTAAATAGGTTAGACCTTGGGAGAAAATGGATGGCATGCACACAAAGTGAAAATAATTTAAGTAAGGGGCTTTTTTCCATTGTTATGGGCAAAGTTAAGGTAGATACAAGGACTGTAAAGGAGCCCAAGGTCTGCAAATTGCAGGTAAGTTAAAGTAGTCCTGGAAAAAAAAAAAAAAATCATGTCATTAACATTTGATTGGGAGGTAGAACCATGAGATTAGCCCCATCCCCACCCCTACCCCAGTCAATACTGTTAGAGTGATGCAGCTACTCCTAGAATGCCTCAAAAAAAAAAGAGGGGGTAGAAAATACCAATATTACATTCTCTCTTCCTACTTTCTGTTTTTCTGTTGATGGTACATCCTGTGAGCAAAATTGAGTGGGATGATGCAGTTTAACCAGCCCTGCAGGAGCAGAGCAGTGTGAAAGAGGGCAGACAAGGGATCTGAGCATAAGAGAGGATGGCAAATAGAGACTATCCAAGTTCCTTTTCTTCTTATCTATGCACCTATATTGTAAGCATCTTAACAAATTGGAAACATGAAGTCGAAATATAAGAAAGCCATGCTGTTAAGTTGAGCTGTGGGGGACTCAGATCAATAATTTCTGACATTGCCAGTTAAACAGAAGACCCAATGCTATTATGGGCTGCTGGACTCTTTTAGAATACTTTGCTGAGTTTACACACCTATAATATTCAATAACGGAACTTAGAAAAAATGGGGTATACCGATGAATGTCCATTTTGTATCTGTGTATTC